TGGGGGGGGGGAGGGGGGGGGGGGAAGGGGGAGCGAAGAAAAAGAAGAGATGATGGGGGGGGGGAGGGGGGAAGGAGGGGGAGGAGGGCTTGCATTACCTGAGACCAGCCATTGGCCTCCATTGTTGGAGAATTCAATGGCATTGACACAACCGAAGTGGCCCAGCAGATCCTTCTTGTAGAGGTTTCTACAGCCTCGCAGGCGCCTCCGCTGAAAGTCCTGGGTGAGCAGAGGGTCTCCCTGCAAGCCCCTCTGGGACAAGAAGCCCACGACTGACCTCATGCTGCCCCCCAGGCCAGCTCGCCGTCTCATGGTGCTGGTGCTGGTCCCCCACTTGCCCCCCTCGCTCGCTCGCTCCCTCCCTCCGCTTTCTCCCCGCCCTCCCTTGTTATGGTTATGATGATTTTCTTTAGCCGGCCATAGCAGGGGAGAGGTATTAGACACTCCGTTGCTTCCTGATCCCCTTTAAACTCCTCCCCTGCCTTACAGCAGCGGCGGCGGCGGCGGCGGCAACAGCAGCTGATTCACAGCTGCAGCCTTTTCCTTGATGCGATTCTTCTGCCGGCTGCTTCCTTGGACTGAACGTTGCTCGGGGGGTCAGTGCTTTTGGAGATCCAGGATGGGCTCTTGACTAAATCGTTCATCGTCTTCATCATCATCACCACTCCTTCCCCGCAAAATCCAAGATCGGCGGAAGTATACTTGGCTTTCGCTGGAGACCAAACAGACGTTGAATCCGCCAGCACTTTTATGTTAAGGAGTTGCAACAGCGGAGAGCCAGTAGATCGCGCTCGGGTGGGACGAGAACGGGTGGATACGATAAGGAGCGGTGAACCTGGCACGGCCGGATGCCGTTTGCCCTAACTTCCCTCTTTACAATCTCCATCATCATTGAAGTAACTTAGGAAGTTGAGCAGGCGTAATAAGAGATAACCGGATTCAGGAGCTTCGGTGGAGTTTTCATCAAAATCCTTCCTAGGACCTAAGACTTCTCGACCGGCCATCTGACCCCGATGCGTTAACCTGCAATTTGTAGGAAGATAAGCTTTCCGAATTCTGTTTTCTAATCCTTCTCTAGTGACTGTTGCTGGCATTTTATATATTCCTCACTGATATCATGGAAACCTAATCATTTTGTTTTGGATCAACCAAACAACGGATTTTTTTTAAAAAAAGACTTCTGAAATGTTGACATTTCCTAAAAAGACATTTTAGGAAATGATTCCACCAAATCAAATTTTTGAGAAAGGGATCCCGGGGAAGAGAGATACTGTAGAGTACATGAGAAATGAAGAAAGCAATCCTTGCTGAAGACAAGCGTAGTGGAACTTACAAGAAATGTACAGAACTCTGTCTCATCAAAGTGTATATTACTTCAGGGAATATTTATTCAGTCTTTATTCTGTCTTTAAAGGAAACTTAAATAGAATTGCTGTATTTAAGAAACTGGTTTGACAACTTTGTGATTTATGCCCAAACTTTTAATACATACACTACATGGTACATGGTACATACATGTGTTTGACATCAGTATAATGCTCCCAAATAAATGAATTTATAATAGTAAAATTTACGGGTTTTCATGTTGGCTCACTATATTATGGGATGTATTATGGCAGAGATGATTGGGTGACCCTAGGAGGATGTTGCTATCTAATGCGAACTAGGAGTAGGTGAAACTACAGGTAGCACCTGATCCTCTTGCATTACCACAACCTGACTTGGAAGTATATGGATGAGCCGTATATCCTACCAGCCACTGGCAAAGAGCAATTCATATAGGACCACCGCAATATTCTTGGGACCCAGCCAATGGCACCATTCCTTCTCTACTCCTTCCAGACCTATTCAGATAACTGGTTCTAGAGCAGCCCTCTGAAAGTTGTTCCTCAGCGGAAAAGTATGAACTTAACACACCTGACACTTAATCCCCAAATTTAGTAATCCAAGGGGAGGGGGAACAGAATGAGACCTAGCACTGATATACTGTGACGGAGACCACATTTGCACATGTTTAACCTTTCGCACAACATGCCACACTGGGTTATTTTTTAACTTTGACTGATTTTTTTGGGGGGGCATAGTGAACTGTACATCCTCAGTTTATTTGATTATATTATGATTCACTGTATTATTCAGTATATGGATTAATTCAGTAAGCAAGTAAAGTATATTGTATGAATCCAGCCTTGGTATGACATTAATTAATGTCATATGAACATTAATTAAAAATATTTATGACATTTTATATATATTGACCCATGATACCTTGCTGTGCTGCACAAAGTGAAGCCTCATCACAAAGGTAGCAAGGGAGGCCTCCCTAGGTACAGCACAATAAAAAAGGGCCTCTCTCTATCCTCTTCATCAAATACAAGTGGGACACACCATTTATTAACTTAGAAATACATGGGGTGTGATGGCTCTTCAGATGCTTGAAAAGACATAATCATCACTTTGAACTGGACCAAGAAGACATTGAAGTAAGCTGTTTCAACATGGAAGCTACAAGCTTGGTTTCCAGCTCCAATCAAGCAATCTGAAATATCAAAATATATTTTCAATGCAGCTCCTTATAGATAACAGTAAACCATGGTTAAGGCATGATTTTAACCACAGCCAGATGAGCTTTTTTTTTTTTTTTTTCTGAAACAAGAACAGGTAAACCACAGCTATCACCTGGGCATTTCATTAATTTATTGATTTTTGTATTCACTAGATTTATGTCCCACTTTTTATTCAGAAGCTCAAGGTGGTGTATGTAGCATTCCCACCTATTTTTTATCCACAACAACAATCCTATGTAGCAGGTTGGATTGAGAGAGAATTTCTGGCCCAAAGTCACTTAGTGAACTTCCATAACCAAGACTGGACTAGAACCTGGCTCTACTTGCTTCCAACACCTAAATCACTACACATTTGGGAACTATCAATATTCTCAAATGGATTATAATATAAATGCTCCCTGGAATTAAGCTTGACTCCTGGTTTTTTTTATTGTTTCTTGGCAGCAGCAACAAAGTGGTTTATTGTTGTTTCTTCTAGAATGTTTTTTTTTACCTTTTAATTTCAGTACAGAAAACCAAAACAAAAAAATATAAACACATAAATTATGAAAAAAATAAAATAAAAAAGGAAGCCAAGAAGAAGAGAAGAAAAGAGAAGAGAAGAAAAGAGAAGAAAAGAAAAGAAGAAAAGAAAAGACATTCATAAAATATTGTTAGGAACTACTTATTTGGAAGTTATTCTCTACTCTCCATTGGGCCCTGGCTGATGATGGCAATCAATATATTTATAAGCATTAGAACTCTTAAAAAACATACTCTAGTTATCTAAGTTTGCCTGTTGTATGTGTGTGTGTATGTATGTATGTATATGTGTTTATATATGTATATGTATGTATGTATGTATGTGTGTGTGTGTGTATATATATATATATATGTA